CTGCGGTGTTCGCTCTATCGAATTTAATTAAGAAAACAGACTAAAGAAGGGCTGGTTGTACAGTTTATAGAGTCGATGCAATAAGGGGGTCTCTTAGCCCTGAGATTCATGACTTCCGGAATGCTTTTGATTGCATGCAACTGATGAAAGCTTTCTTATTGCATAGGAATTTGGCTCGTAATTATAGCATCCTTAATCTTAGTTGTGCTTTTATATACTGTGAAGCTTAATTACTGGGGCGTATTTGGAGGGAAATGTCTATCACTTGGATTTCTTAAAGCTAAGTGACAGAATTCGATTCAAAGGTCATTCTTAGATCTATAAAACCCCGATCTATTGTGCACGGACCCCCCACCCCACCCCCCACCCACCCCGCCCACACACAACAAACTCGAGTGCACCTAATATGTAAAACTAAATCTACATCTACACCCACACCCACACACAGGAATCACGCCACCCACGCACCCACACCATCCACCTCCGGACGCCCTAAATCACCGACACACGTATAAATCCAGCCCCTACACCCTCCTTGTCATGCCCCACGCCCATACCCCTCCCCTACGCCCTACGCCCACAACCCCCGCCCCGCCCTTTGAACCCACGATAGTCATCGGCGACGCCCCTTGAACAACCGCCGCCCTCGTGAACTGAAACGGTTTCGATCCGACTATAAACGCTCCGAAAAAGCATCGAATCCCAAGTAATCGGGAATTTTACGAGGCGTCTCCATTAACCAGACGACCGATGGGGTTCCCGATTCACTTGTACGGAGCGGCGGCGGCGGCGGGGAGTAAAGGAAAGGGGGGGTGAGGGGGGTAGGGGGTGGAAGAAGGGGAGAGGTGACGGGGGGTAGGGGGTGGAAGAAGGGGGAGAGGTGAGGGGGGTAGGGGGTGGAAGAAGGGGAGAGGGGAGGGGGAGGGGGAAGGGGAGGGGGGGTGAAGGGAGGGGCAGAAGAAGGGGTTAGAAGGGGAAGAGGGAGGGGGAGGGCCAGAAGAAAGGGGTTGGAAGGGAGGGGGGGGGGAGAGAAAACGAGGGAGAGGGGCTTTATCTTTAGCTTTTTTTCCCTTAGTCTTCCTCGTCGAAGTAACGGCCTGATTTCGCCTCCGCCAAGATGGGCCGTTTTCTTTTAGTCAATGACTTCCTTTTCTTCTTCATTTCTTTCTTTCTTTTTATTCACAATCAAACTAAAAAAAAAGAGAGAAGAAAAAGGAGAGAAGAGAAGAGCAGGGGAGGGAAGGAAAGAGAAGAGCAGAGAAAAGAAGCAAAGAAAAAAAAAGAAGCGAAGCGAAGCGAAGAGAAGCGAAGGGAAGAGAAGCGAAGAGAAGCGAAGAGAAGCAAAGAGAAGCGAAGAAAAGAATAGGAAAGAAAAGAAAAGAAAAGAAAAGAAAAGAAAAGAAAAGAAAAGAAAAGAGAGGAAAAGAGAGAGCAATTCAAATTCGACAGGATCTGCCGGAAACAAACAAGAGATAAGCGAAGCGATTACGGAAACAGCCTCAGCCTTGTTTCGAGCGCAGAGACCACACCGGTGTCGAGACGAGTAAAAAAAACCGAAAAAAACTAAAAAAAACGGAAAAACGTGAACGCAAAAAAGAGACACGAAGACAAAAAATAGCCAATAAACAACGAAGAAAGAAAGAAAGAAAGAAAAAGATAAGAGAGAGGGAAGGTTTGTCCGTAAGAAAAGGATGAAATAATCGAGGCTTAGTGACAGACACAAGAGCTTTGTCCTTCGTGAACTTCGGTCAATTGTTCAGTGTTTTCGTTCATTCTCCGTATCCGTTTCCTGTTATATTTTAGGCGAAAGGAAAAAGAAAAAAGAAAAAAAAAAAGAAATAAAGAGAAAAAAAGAAAAGCACTAAATTGAAACTATTTTTTTTGGTCTCTGTTAATTCCATCATTCTGTGACAGCATTTATTTAATTAATTTGCTGCCAGCTATGTGCATAATCATTCATGGCATATAATTTGCCATTTATTTGATGACAGAATTTCGGATGGTATTACTGGCACGAAAAATCAATTACATCAAATCAACATGCAAATACGTGTAAAATGCGAACATCATTATTAGTTACTTATCCATAATCCCAGTTCATATTTTGCAACAGCTATTGTCGACGTGCATTGTTGCCATGTGAAAACTACGGAATTCATGGCAGCAGATCGTGTTCCACTCAGCGAAATGCCGACGTCGGGGGGGGGGGGGGTCTTGCTCTGTCATTCTGTTCAATTATGTTTCATTATCATTGTTATTGTTGCTGTTGCTGTTATCTTTATTAGTGTGATTATTTTGATTATTGTCATTATCATTATTATTATTATTATTATTAATATTATTATTATTATTATCATTATTATTATTATTATCATTAATGTTGTTGTCGTTTTCATTGTTGTTGATATTACTACTATTATTGTTATTATTGTTGTTGATATTATTATCATTTTTATTATTGTTATTATTATTGTTATTATTATTATTATTATTATTATTA